TGGGGTTTTGTCTCAAGATTTGGGACTTCACGATACAGACACTTGCTATTGTACTTAGAAGTGAAACAGAAGTTTGCGAGGTCCAGATGGGTCAAGACCATTTCGAGCTCTCATTATTTGTGCATGATCTACCCATGTGTATTACGAAGCCTTTTGAGTTGCTGCCAGTTGTAGCAAGGATTTTGCATTCTTTTGTGGGAATCTCAGGAGATAGAGTTAATTTAAAGAAATCAAGCTGAATTGCTATTAGCATGGGTATATCTCAGCAGAAGAGGAGCTGGGGTGGCTCAAGTGGTTAAGACGCTGAACTGCAGGCTGTGGAAGGTCAGTAGTTCAGTAGTTCGAGACCCGGGTGCTGCATGATGGAGTGAGCTCCCGTCTCTAGTTCCAGCTCCTGCCAACCTAGGAGTTTGAAAGCAAGAAATTGCAAGTAGATAAATAGGTACCACTTCGGTGGGAAGGTAACAGCGTTCCGTGCGCCTTGGTGTTTAGTCATGCCGGCCACATGACCACGGAAACGTCTTCAGACCGCGCTGGCTCTTCGGCTTTGAAACTGAGATGAGCACCGCAACCCTAGAGTTTGATTTGACTGGCTTTCAAGCAAGGGAACCTTTACCTTTACCTTTATCTTAATAGGCATTCCGTGGCATTGTCATCCTATTAGATATCTGGGGATTTGGGTTCAGGAAGATTTGAGCAAAGTTGTGGATGTTAATCCTGGAAAATATTTCTCAGAATTAGAAATTCAGTCAAACAAATGAAGATTACTTCCAATATCTTGGTTGGGGAAGATTGCTACTATAAAAATATCTGTGTTACCAATATTATTGTTGTTATTTATGAATATTCTCATAACAATCAATCCGGGAATATTAAAAAGTTGGCAAAAGTGGGTCCTTCAGTTTATCTGGCAAAACAACCCCACTAGAGTTTCTGCTAGAATTTTGTATCAGAAAGCCTTTGTGTGGTGGACTGGGTGTGCCTAATATATATTTTTATTACCAACTGTTAGATTAAGCTCACTATTAAAATGGTGAATTTGAGTGCTGTTGAAAAAGTAATCAACAGGAACGTGTCAACTATTGTTTGGTTTGTTGCTAAGAAAAAAAACTATGAGTTGGAGTGTATTTGGAGGAAACTGAGACCATTATTGAGTCCTGGTCTATCACCACTGTCTTTTTTATATAATGAGGAGGTGTGAGATGTGAGCTCTTTAGGAGATATTCAGCTATGGAAGAAATCTAATCTCTCTACAGTTGAAAGTCTGTTAAGTAATAAGGGGATTCGTTCTTATGATCAAATTGTAGCTAAAATGGAGAAAAAAATGCAATTATTTCAATATGTTGTCGAAGGCTTTCACGGCAGGAGTTCATTAGTTGCTGTAGATTTTCCGGGTTGTGTGGCCGTGGTCTTGGCCTTGTAGAACTCGGAAAGGTTTGATTTGTGTTAAAACTATACAAGGAAAACACCCTCAGAAATACAAGCATATAATCAAACAAGCATTTCTGTTCTGCTCAGTCTATATGGCTGTTACAGGCCCATAACAGGGTAAACATTCTGATGCAATGTTCTGTGGTTTTATGGATCAGTTGTTGGGAAAAGACCATTATTGTTGATTATATAGGTCCCGTTCACACTAGGCGATTTGGGCCGGGAGCGGGACAGTTCGGGGCCGGATCAAACCGGCGCGATCACACCACAACATCTGGGAAGCGTCTTGCTTCCGTGCCCGAACTGTCCCTTCCCCGCACAAATCCGCCGCAAACTGAACCACCTACCTTAGGTGGTTCAAATGGACGCGGCGCGGCAAGCGGGGCGTTTGATCGCCGGCGCCTCCTTGCGCCGGCACAACCCCGGCCCGGATCCGAACTGCGCATGCTCCGACATGCGCAGTTTGGCCGGCTAGGCGTCTGACCTGTGTTTTCTCCCCGGTGTTTGATCACGCCGGGGAGAAAAGGCGCCACGGCCAGGAGATCCGTGGGATCCCGCTGCGGCGTCTCAACGTTGGCGCGGCTTTTAAAAGCCGCGCCTTAAGAGGCTTTTCCCCTGCCGTGTGGCAGGGGCCATAGATGACTTATATCCTCACTATAATTATTACTACTGCTCTGCTTTGGTTTTGCCTTCATGAAAATGATAATATAATATGACATGTATTAGTCTGTATGAAAATAAATAATGGAAATAATAATAATAATAATAGCAACAACACAGTTGAAATAGAATGAGAGCTGTAAAGAGCTCCACTTGTTAAGGTCAGGACAAAATAAAAGGAGGTGAGACATTGTAAGTTCTCTTGGGAGTGTGAATATTTTGCATGCACAAACACATTTTGCATGCACAAACACACACACATGCAGGTCTAGATTTGGACCAGGGCACAATCAAATTGGTGCAGTGGTTAAGTGCGTGGACTCTAAGTGCATGGTTTGATTCCCCACTTCTCCACATGCAGCTGCTGATGGGACCTTGGGTCAGTCACAAGTTCTCTCAGAACTGTTCCCTCAAGAACAGTCCTCGAAAGAATTCTCTCAGCCCCACCTACCTCACAGGGTGTCTGTTGTGGGGAGAGGAAGGGAAAGGAGAGTATAAACTGCTCTGAGACTCAGAGTGAAGGGCAGGGTATAAATCCAATCTCCTCTTCCTCCTCCGAAGTCGAGTAGCAGTTTCCTAGAGTATAGACAATACCCAACGGAGGTAAACAGAGGTGGCAGGATTACACCTTGTATCATTTATACACCCCAGCACATCACAATGTGTGGTCCCAGTTCATACCAGAGATTGTAGATTCTGTTGCAGCCTCTTCATCTTGCAAATGATGCAGTTTCTCAACAGTCTCTTCTTTTCAGGGATCTCCTCAGCTTGAACCTACTTTATCTTGTGCACCATCCTCAAGTTCCCGGATGTCCGTTATTTTCATCCTGTGCTCCTGATCTTCCGGACCAGCCCACAGCCATGGTCTAGCAGGTGCTAGATTACTATAACGACTGTCAAATCCGCACAGAAACAGGCTCACATTGACTTTGGATGTTTGGAGACTACAGGCGCTTTTTCTTGTGTGTTTTTTTTTTCTTGTCGGTTCTGAACCACAATGCTTTGGTTTATCCCCTGATTTCCATACACATTTTTGTGCCTTTAGCTTCTGCTTCATCCCACCCCCATTTTCCCCCCTGTTCTTTTGAGATCACTTCTATTGATCTTTTTTTGGAAGCTGAGTTGTAGTCGCCTTTTTCACTGTGTGTAATGTCTCTGCTATGGACTGACCTTCCACAGCCTGCAGTTCAGCGTCTTAACCACTTGAGCCACCACAGCTCCAGTATTGATATAAGCATGCACAAATGATAAAAAGGGGGAGATGCTGTGACACCACCAATGAAACACCCTCCCATGAAAATCCTGATTATTTAAGGCATGTCTGAAAGAAAATAAACAGACTCCACAACTGTGAAAATGCACAAGGAGGGCAAATGTGCGGAAGAACCATGCTCAATCCAAATCCACTGCTTGTGGATCGACTGCCAAGAAAACCAGGAGTAAATTGTGTGCCTCGGGCTTCCTCTTTCAGCCCCTTCATGGTTCCAAAGTGGAATTTTCCACTCCCCCACCCCTCCAGTAAGGTGCACATGATCCCTCCTTCTGTGCTCCTTACTACAGACTTCAGGACTATCTGGCTGGAATCGACGCACATCCCTACTTCTCTAGCCATTGTCAGAGATGCAACAACCCAGATTTCTGTATGTGGTAGAGGTGATAACCTTGAAAAGTCATTCTGTTTGGGAAAAGGGCAGAAGGCTGGACTGAGCTAACGTCTTCAGTTTTATTATGAACTATGTAGATTTTGCGTGCCTGAAATCCCAGCACAAAAGCATGGAATCTGCATGCCATAGTGATTAGTGTGTAGGATTAGGATCAGGGAATCCCATGTTCAAATCTCCACCTTGCCATGGAAGCCCACTGGGTGACCCTGGACCACTCAGTTTATCTCAGCTTACCCTATTTCACAAGGGGGTTGTTGTGAGAGGATAAAATGGACCTGGGGAGAATGGTGTTGCAAGCTCTTTGAGTCCTCATTGGGGGGGGGGGGAGAAGGAGGAGTTGGAGGAGTTGGTTTTATACCCTTCCGTTCACTACCTGAAGGAGTCTCAGAGCAGCTTCCAGTTGCCTTCCTTTCCTCTCCCCACAACAAGCACCTTGTGAGGTAGAGAGAGTTCTGAGAGAACGGTGACTGACCCAAGGTCACCCAGCTGGCTTCATGTGGAGGAGGAGTGGGGAATCAAACCCAAATCATCCAGATTATGGTCCATTAACCACACACCATACTGGCTCTCTAGAAAAGCAAGGTATAGATACCTAAACCAATCAATGCAGCATGATGACAATCTTTCTTTTGCCTGGGGTGAAAAATCTGAAAGATAACTGAAAGGGCGAGATCCTACAAAGCCAGAAATTCCCGCGAAGAAAATTCCCAGCGGCCACAGCAGGGGAGCTCCAAAGCTGTGGGTGGAACCGTCATGTATGCATCCAAATCCACTCGATTCGTTTTCAGGGGCAGAGGCTGGCTTGCCCAGGTGGTCCCCCCTAGTCCTGTGTGTCTGCTCGCTGCTGCAGGTCTTCCCAGACCCAGAGAGAGCGGGTCGCCGGGCTCCTCTTGCCCCCTCCGCGCCTTCTTCCCCGCGAAGGTGTCGCCGCCCGCTAGGAGGCTCGCCCAATCAGTCGCATCCTTCATCCCTTCGGCACGCCTTGGAAAGAGCCCCGGCCGGGCCAGCGATGCCGTCGCCCGACTCCCGGGAGGACCGCTCCATGGAACTTTCGCCGAGAAGGAGGAGGGACGAGGTTTCGGGAGCCGGCGGCAGGTGGGTGCCAGGGATTATTAATAGGACCGCTTGTTTCGTTCGGGAAAGGTAAATGTGACACCGCCGCCGCCGTCCCTGTCCCGGAGTATCTGACACCGGCGAGGGGCGGGGCGGCCTCGCCTTCCCGAAATAGAAGAGGCAAGACGCCTATATAAGTGGGGGTCCCACCTAGGGTTGCACCTTCCTTTGAGCACCTCCCCAGCCCGCCAGCCTTTCCCGGGCCGCTTTCGACAGGTAAGTCGGAGGTGCGTGGGGAGAGGCGGCAGCCCGTGGCGCTTGCCCGCCCAGAAGCGAGTCGCAGACCTGGGGGGCTTGGACTGCTGGAGGGGCATCCAACGCGCGATCGCTCTTGACGTCCCGGCCAGTGTTCCCTCTAAGCTGAGTTAGTGTGAGCTAACTCACAGTTTTTTAGCCTTTGGCTCACACATTTTTGTCTTAGCTCAGGAAGGAGGGCTCCAGAACAAATTAATTAATGCAGTAGCCGAATCGCTCGCTCACAACTTTAATGCCAGTAGCTCAGAAAGTAGAAATTTTGCTCACAAGACTTCACAGCTTAGAGGGAACATTGGTCCCGCCCCCCCCCCAATAAACTCGTCGCAACGGGGGGGGGCAAAAGTCTCCATCGCCTCCAACGAGGGTGGGGGCGTCCAGCCTAACAAGCAGGCGGCAACAGATGGGGAGGGGAGAGAGAGAATGAGAAGATGGCCCATTGGGGGAAAGGAGTGGTGGGAAGCTGAGCGCACCTAGAGGAGCGACGGCTGAGAGATGGCAAAGCAGTAACTGCTAGAGAAAGGAGAAAACGGGGTGGGAAAGGATGCAGGTAAACGGGGACACGAATTCGGAGGGCTGGGTGGATTAACGACTTCCCTGGGGCTAACAGGAACAGAAAGGTGAGGGAACGGGCACGACCTTTACTCCGAGTAGTACCTGTGCGTCGAGCGCCCCAGAGCAGGTGGTAAATAGCTCCCTCTGAAGCAGGAATTACCGATGATCACCGCCTGTTGGGCCTATGTGACGAGAATGGCCGTCTCCTCGTTGTCTGGGGTGGTTTGCAGCGGGACCCGTCGAAAACAGAGAGCGTATTTGCCCACGTGTGGATTTCTTTAGTCTGGCGCGTGGGGAAATGCAAAGTTTGGGATTTATTTTACGAGAAGCAAACAAGAAACTGAGCACATGATATAGAACAAACAACGATGACCCTTCAGTCAGACGGATCAAGGAATGCTTGTGGCTAACGGAGCATGGGGTCTTGGCAAGCTTGTGCAGCGACCGGCTCGGAGGTTCAAGTCCTGCCCCCAGCTGGCAGAACGTGGGAATAGCAGTGCCTGGGACTGAAAAATAGGCGGTGGGAGTGGAGGGGTTCAGAAGAGAAAGTTTTGTGGGTACACTTTCTCATTTGGCCGGGCCCATGCACAACACAAGAGGCTGTGTGTTTTTTTCCCCCCTCTGGGTCAAATTGTAAAAAGCTAGTTTGTTTCTTCCAGAAAGAATTCCTCGAATAGTTGCCCTATTGTCTTCAAAAGCATTAGGGTCCAATATGTCACTTTTGAAAGGGTTCATAGGCGTAATCTTCGTGGGGGTGGCGGGGCTTCAGCCCTCGCCGAAATTTTCAGGAAGGTGCCAACCCTCCCCCAGGAGCCCCCCTTGCTCCTACCACAGCAATGCCTCTGGCCCAGCCCCAGCCCCCCCCCCCCGGAAATTGGAAAGTCTACACCCTTGAAAGGGTTACTTGAACAGAGGTTTCCAGCCTAAAGAACTCTCAAGTATGCTGTCCCAACTTCACCAGTAAAGTTAGCTGATCATTTGCATCCTTTGGAACTGGAGAAACCAGATCTGCTTACTCTGCATGCGCATGAACGTTTAAAACCCAAAAGTTTAACACCAACAAAGTTTAATGCTGGGAATAAGCTTTCTTGAGCATGCACACTTCTTCGGATACATTCCTCAAGCCTTATATATAGATAGAGAGAGGGTGGGGGTGAATTAAGTCTGTTCAAGCAAAAATTAAAGCACAACTCCAGTAGCACCTTAAAAACTACAACCAATGGTTCTGTTGCAGCAAAAACAACAGGGTTGTGACACCTTAAAGACTCTGGTCACTTGCACATGGGTTCCATGCCCCAGCTTGGATGCTGTTGGGAAGCAAGATTGTTGACCTGCCCCACAGCATTGTGGGTGCTTCTGTGCACCTCCTAAGGCTTTCTCCATCTTTCCTGCAATCTTCCAGAACCTGCTTTGCAGCAGTGTTTCTGGCAAAGACTGCACCAAAGCTAAGGTGGCACCCACCGTGGATGGGAAAGTCTGAATCTTCCCAGTCCCACCCACATGGTCGCCATTTTCCTTGCTACAGTCCCCCTGTAATGACCATTTCCCTTGCCAAAGGGGGCTCTTTTTAACTGCTAGCTGAATATCATGGGCCCCAGTCACACAGGCCGGATATCGTGAGGGGGAGGCGTGGCTGTTTGCCCCAGAGCGAACTACCGCGCGGCCACCGGATCAAATGTCCAGCCGACATCCTGTGTTTTGGGGGGAGGTGCCGATCATCATACGTCAATCCTGCGGCGCAGCAAAGAAGCGGCGGGGCGGGTTTTTTTTTAACTGAAGTGTGCGCATGCGCCATTGGGTGCTTGTGCGCATCCCGTGGAGACCTGGGGGGGGGGACCTTTTCGCGACGGGACATGGGCGGGCGCCAGATGCCACAAGCTACCACTAGAAATGTGATCAGATGCCCGCCCTTTCCCCGCGGTTTCCGGAAACTAGTACCTCAGAGGTACTAGTTTTTTAAGGCACATCTTCAGCGGGAAGCCTTGGGTTAGCCACAGGAGCTCTACGCTTCCCAGATGTTGCGGTTTGATCGCGCCTGGAAAATCCGCCTATCTTCTGTCTCTGTAGCGTGGCTAATGCTCCATGTGACCGCAGCCATTATAATGTTATAACAATCTGTCAGTCAGGTACTCTAGCTTTAATTAAAAAGTAAGCTCCTTTCATTTCAGTGATACGCTTCATCCCTTTATGTATTAGCAGTGACTGGGGCTAGAGACTAAACTCAGCTTAAAAGAAAAGCTGGAAATTCAGAGAATCTGATAGACAGGTTGTGATGACAGTACAATGATATTCAATTGCTGATTTTTAAAAAAAACCTCTGCAAAGTTCTTGGCGTGTGTCATGGGTGGGGAAATGGCCACAAAAACTGAAAAAAGCTCTTGGCATGTGTTGTGGGTAGAGAAATGGCCACAAGTCTATACCCATCTGGAAAAATACCTGATTCATATTTTTAAGGAGGCAAGAACATTCCTGGGATAGGGCCTGCTGCCTTTTAAATCTCATGCCCATAGTAAAGGGGGCCACAACATCCTTTGCTTCTGAAGAAATGGACTCTGGTGCACAAAATAATAAAAATGTTGTTAATCTTTAAAGTGTCACAAGACTTCTGTTTGTTCGCGACAAACTGGTAGTTAAAGGTCAAGATTCTGCTTTCAGTTCAGTTCTTTTCTTTGCCTTGAGCCACGACATAGGAATGGGATAAGGACAGAACAGCACAGAAACCCTTGCCTCTCTTTGATAGTCTTACCCTACCGTTCGGTGTGGGTTAGGTGGTCTCTTTTGACCTTGCAGCCACTGGTTGCATTTTGATTAGAGGCTATAAAATGAAGAAAGCATTGATTTCAGAGCACTGCTAAACATTTTGTGACAAGAGCTTTTCCACTGTGTGGGGTGAAAAGTGCCTATCATTCCATCTTGCTCAGGACTCAGCCTCCCTATTGCACACCTGCTGAAAATCCTGATCACATTAGCACATGTACTTTAGTGCCTTATTTTCTGCACTTTAAAGGCAGCTCGCTCTGGAGACAAGGCCAGTACGCCTCCCCGAAATAAACAACTGATGGATAAATTAATTATAGCCTACAGATATTTGACTGTTTCTGAATAAGGCTAGATCAACATTAATAAGACCAAATAGTTCCACTAAAACTGGCATGCAGAGTTGTTGCTGAAAGCTGGGAAAGGTCTGAATGAATTGCGGCTGCTGAAGTTATTTTAAAAAATCAACACGTGTAAATGGTATTTGGAAATCAATAGACTCAGTGACTTGGATCCTATGAACAAGTTCTTTGCATGTCAGGTAGCCTCTGTCGTGGAGTACAAGTCCTCTTTCACTAGAATTTCCACTTGCACAAGATCAGTGGTTTTCCATGGGCCCTTTTGCAACTGGAAGTTTTAAAGGAAAAAGTGCACTGTGCAGCAAAGGCAACCTAGCTTTACAGGATACAAGCCAAAATTTAGATGTCTGCATGCTATGGCCACCTTTCTTCTGACCAGGTCATGTAACAGTAAAATAAAACTCAACAAAACCACATCATTAAAACCATTAAAACCATAAATTACATCAGTACATTAAAACAACAGCTTTGAAAATACCCTATGCATGTATGTTGTTCCCTTTGACTCAGACTCAGGCTACCTCAGATGCTCTGCAGAATAGTTCTGTTTTACAGCCTTATCAGAAAGCCAGGAGGGTAGAAGCCCCCCTGACCTCTTCAGGGAGACTGTACCACAGGCATGGGCAGCCACTGAAAAAGCTGAAGCCCAGCCGTTAACAGAGTATGCCCTAGACATACAGCCAGTAGGGCCTGTTGGCAGGAATAAAGCAAATTTCCGTGTTTTGTGCTGAAGGACATCATAAATATAGTAGGCATTATAAATATATATAAATATAAATATAAACATTATAAATATATAAATATATATAAATATTGCAGTGTTTTGTGCTGAAAGACATCGTAAATATAGTAGGCATTATTAGGAAATTGGAGAAACAGTTCTGAATCAATAGGATTCCCTATATCTATCTAGAATATCTAAAGGAGAAAGAAGTGGGGTGTTGCTGTATGTGTCCAGGAGAGCATGGGGTGGGGAAAAATAGAAAATGACTAAGAAACAAATTTCTCCACAGAAAGAATCATGGTGGGAGGAAACACTAGGTCCAATGGTGGGAGGAAACACTAGGTCCCTGTTTACTCCCAAACCCCCAAATTCTGAGAGTGATCTTAAGATGAAGAAAGAGATAAAACTAGCGACCCTCAAGGTGTGACCATCAAGCAAATGCTGATACACTATTTATTTCCTATTCTTTCTCCTTCAGTCATGTTACTGTTGGGTGAACTTCCTTGGCTTCCACTTCCATATTCAAGTAAAAATACCATGTCTCATATTTAAAGCCTTCCATTCACTCT